GTAAGTCTCCTCTTAGTCTCCTCCTTTCTAGCGAGAAGAGTCTCAAGTATTTTAGCCTGTTTGGTATGACTTGCCATTTTGGCCCTCAATCATTCGGGTGGCTGGCCTTTGAAATTTCTCTAAACAGGCTGCATCGTTTTCGAGGAAGGGTGCCCAAGCCTGCACGCAGTACTCCAAGTGCGGCATACCTATGGCTTTGTACAGGGGTAGGAATACGTCGGGTTTCCTACACGATAGTACCGACTTGAGTCTGAAAAGCTCTCTCCTCGCCCTCACTGCAGCTAGTACGCACTGGTTCTCCCAGCGGAAATCCGCCGCCACCGATGTTCCTAAGTCTCTGCTGGATTTTACAATCCCTGCAGCGAAATCCCCTTCACCTAAATGGATTGAAAACTGTTCATCAGCACGGGAAAGTAAATTGCTTTTCTCTGCATTCAGTGGGACGTCCCATACTGTTGCCCATTCCGTTGCTTTACGCAGGTCATCCTGCAATTGCTGCCGACTGGCTGATCCCACTATCTTGACATCATCTGCAAAGATGAAGCACGGCGAACGTAGGATGGCAACCAAGTCGTCTATAAAAATGAGCAACGGTAGGAGACCAAGCACTGAGCCCCGTGGTACTCCACTAATGGGTATGGCTTGGCCGATACTTTGTCTTCAATCGTCACATGAAATGTACGACCGGTCAGAAATTACCTGATCCAGTTATGTATCTGCTCCTCTATCCCCTTGCGTTGGAGCTTAGCTAACAGAAACCTGTGATTAACGGAATCAAAAGCTTTGCAGAAGTCTAAATAACGGATTTCCACAGCTTTGCCCTCATCTAACCTCAAGGTTACCTCATCTAAAAACACAGTGAATTAGATAAGCAGGATCTACTGTGGTGATCGAGACTTCCGTGATCGCAATCCATGCACGACTAGGTACAGTTTCATGTCACCCAATCACCGTTCGGCCAGTGGTACACTGGGCGAACGTGACATCCGAGTTAGTACATATGATGGTCGGCGCAAACGGTTACGTAATTGGACGACGGCCCTTCAACCAATCATATGAGCTATTACCTTCTATAAGACATGCTCTAATTATATCAATAAACATAAGCATTTGCTGCTAACAATTCCTTGTGTATTTCATTGGTATTCGCAGTTCGGATTGGAGACAATTCAGTTCTGAGCAATACAGTACGGATTCTCGTATTCCTAAATTCAATACCATTCCAATTACTACAATATGGCGACGCGCATTGAAGATTCTTGTCATTGAACCACTGAACCTGCACGAAAGTCCATCAGAAGTCGAAGAGTGGGTAGAACGTTTCGAATTGTGGTGCAGCAGCCGGAAAGGAGGAATGCTAAATCAGTCGATCCTATTTTTGACGTTGGGCGGTCGAGAGCTGTATTCCCTGGTGAAGAATCTTGCGTTCCTGAATGTTCCTGCTGAATTTCCGTTCGAGAAGTTGAAATTCCTATTACTGGACCACATTCCTCCAGTGGATTTTCAGGCCACTGAACGGGCCAAATTCAACTCAATGATCAGAGCTGCCAACATGCCGTGCCGTGAGTTCATTCTCCAGTTGAACAAACAGGCGTCAAAATGCAACTATGGTGACCGATTGGAAGAACAACTTTGTGACCGTCACATTGCTGGAATCAACAATATTTCATTACAACGTAAGATGGTGGAAAATAAAGATATCATGCTTGATGAGGCTCGAAAAATCTGTGAGCAAATTGACGATTTGTGTGCTGCCACAAATGCGGATACTCCTGTGTTATTCCGTCGGCGATCAACGAAACCCTTACGTGACGCACCCAATGTTCATAATTCACCCCAGGTTCCTCAAGTACCCAGTTCAAGCCGAACACAACCGAAGTCTGCGATCAACCACTGCTTTTCATGTGGCGAATACCATCTTCGTTCGACTTGTCGATGCATGCGGTAAGATGGGCCATATCCGCAAGGTATGTCGAATGCCCAAGTGCAACTTCATCGACTCTAATATCCCAACGGCAGATGAGAACTCAAGCCCAATCTGTACGCTGCAGACCAGTGAACCCAACGGTCATTTCGTTTTCGCCCAACTGAGGTTCGAGTCTGGTGTGGAGCATCGATTTATCATGGACACAGGAAGCAGCGAATCAATCCTACCGAAATCAGCACTTAATGCGATCTGTCCTAATGCTGTTCTAGCCCCGACTTCTGTGCGCATTCATGGGGTTACTGGCCATCAGTTGCAATTACTTGGTGAAGCGATATCGTGCGTCCAATCTGAATCCGGCGTATCAATCCCAATCCGATTCCTGGTACCAGCCCACAGTCCGTCTATTCTGGGTCTTCGAGCAATGCGGTTACTACAAGGATTCATCACACTACACACCAACAACAATATGCCAATCGCCTCACATCTTCAACATTTGATTGTACAGTGTTCCAGTAACGTTGGTGGCATGAAAGTACTGTCAATGAAGTTGGAAGTGGACGGTGAACCTATTTTCCGAAAACCACGCGTCCTCCCATACAGTCAACGGGAAGGTGTCCTGAAAACATTACAGAACATGGAGCAGGATGATGTGATAAGTAATGTTGAATCCAGTGCCTGGGCTATCCCGATCGTCCTGGTGATGGAAGGTGATGGTAGGAAAACACGAATCTGTGGAGACTATCGACTAACGTTGAATCTTCGATTGCGGAGATGTGCAGCGACCACCATGGAACCAGAGGATTTCGTGAAGTCATTGCATGGATGCTAGTACTTTTCGAAGATCGATTTGGCGGATGCATACCTACAGATTCCCCTCGCTGTCGAATCTCGCTAATTGACAATAATCAACACGCCGTGGGGAATGCATCAGTACAATTATCTCCTATTCGGATTGCATGTGTCGTCTGGCCTCTTTCAATCGGCAATACACTGTGTAATCAAAGGACTCGTGGGTGTGTTTGCATATCAAGATGACGTCCTCATTTTCGGCCTTAATAAGAAAGAACACAATGCCCGTCTCACGCAGCTACTGGAATGATTTGCCGCCAGAAACGTGGCTATCAAGCCGTCCAAGTGTGTGTCTGGAGTAAGTGAGTTGGAGTTTCTAGGATTCACAGTTGATTCCCGTGGATATCGTCCCCATCCGACACGTTTCAAACCATTGATTAAAATCGAATCTCCAAAAGATCAAACGCATTTGAGATCGGTGATGGGATGCCTACAGTACTATTCCCGATTTATCCCGAACTTTGCTACAAGGGTGCAGCCGCTTTTCCGTGCTCAGTGTTCAGATGCTTGGGAATGGTCGGTGGAGTGTGGAAATATCTTACGTGGTTTAATTCGCTGCGTTACTGTTCTCGCCCCGTTTTCACCTTCAAAACCGAATACACTCATCACCGATGCAGCTGACGTCGGAATCAATGCTGTATTACAACAAGAAGGTTGCCCAGTGATCTGCATTTCACGTCTACTCAATGCGGCAGAAAAGGGATACTCACAGACTCAAAAGGAAAGGGTGGCTGTATTTTGGGCTGTTCGACGATTGCACAAGTACCTTTTCAGATTGCGGCTTACTATCATCACTGATCACCAAGTGATACAGTTCTTGTTCAACCCAAACGAATCCATCGCGAAGTCCACTGCTGCTATGCTACAGAGGTAAGGTACGGCTCTAGCCGCGTTTAACTATGACATTCAACATTGTCCAGGAAAGACAATCTCGTAGGCTGATTTCCTCTCTCGCTGCTCACAATTTTCCGAGGTCGAACAGTGTCATTTCATATCTCCAGCATCACCAATGTCTCGGGAATCTTTACGCAAATCTACCAAACAGTACTACTCAGCTATACTCTCGGCGATCAAGAAAGGGTGATCACCAGAGTTAAAAAGAAAGTATCCTTAATTCTTTGCTCAACGAGAGGAGTTGTCAGTACAAGTGGATGGTGTATTATGTCGTGCCGATCGATTGGTAATCCCACCGCCACTACGGAAGACGGTACTAGAAGCATTGCATAAAGGACATATGGGGGTGAAGAAGATGAAATCATTGGCTCGACAGATGTGTTGGTGGCCGGAGTTGGACACAGACATTTACGCAACAGCCGAGAACTGTGAGTCAGGTTTACATAAATTAAGAACAAGACCGAAAAACTGGACACCATGGCCGGAAAGTTATATACCATGGCAAAGGGTTCATTTTGATTTCCGTGGTCCATTTCTGAACCGGTACTACGCCCTTGTTCTGATCTATTCATACTCCAAATGGCCAGAGGTATTCTTTACGACTACGCCTACTACATCACTTGTGATACAAGTAATGCGAAAATGCTTTAGCCGCGAAGGAATTCCACAAGTGCTTGTGACGGACAATGGATCTCAGTTCTGTGCGACCGAAATGAAGCTATGGATAGACAGCATCGATTGCCGACATCTTCGAACTGCGTCTCGTCACCCCTGTTCGAACGGAGCGACAGAGAATCTAGTCAAAACTGTCAGGAGTGCAATTGCGTCTGCCAATCCTAAAACGCTACATGAGTCGGAAACGTTGGTGGATAACTTCCTACTCCAATACCAAAACGCAACACACAACCACCAAGGAGGGCCCGGCAATGCTTTTTAAATCCCGACGGTTGCAATCCTCCCTACAGTGCCTCGACTCCAGTGACGTCGTATAATTCCGTGGTAACAATTTGCGACCCGCATCTGGTATAGTCACACGACAACTGGGTCAAGCCATGATGGAAATTACCGACTTGAATGATGCTACTTTGCACAAGCGACACGTGGACCAAATCCACTGCAAATCATCCACGGACCAGCGGCATCATGAAACAAGCGAGGNGAAACAAGCGAGGGCGACAGTCATTTGCATACCCCATCAGCACAACCGACGGAGTCGCATCAGTCAGATGTGCAGAAACAACCAATCGAAACACAAGGACACCGCCAGGAGCCAACGATTGCAGTCCGTATGTTGAGCCTTCAGGCGAGCCAGATTGATGAGGCACTTTTGAGGGAAGGGAGTTGTGGTGATCCAGACTTCCGTGATTGCAATCCATGCACGACTAGGTACAGTTTCATGTCACCCAATCACCGTTCGGCCAGTGGTACACTGGGCGAACGTGACATCCGAGTTAGTACATATGATGCGTTGGCGCAAACGGTTACGTAATTGGACGACGGCCCTTCAACCAATCATATGAGCTATTACCTTCTATAAGACATGCTCTAATTATATCAATAAACATAAGCATTTGCTGCTAACAATTCCTTGTGTATTTCATTGGTATTCGCAGTTCGGATTGGAGACAATTCAGTTCTGAGCAATACAGTACGGATTCTCGTATTCCTAATTTCAATACTATTCCGATTACTACATCTACCCTTGGTAAACACGTGCCGTTGGTCAGTAAGCAGTGAGTTATGGAGTAAATGCTGTGCGATGTGCGTCCTCACTACCAGTTCTAGTCACTTGCACAATATACTTGTTAGGCTCACCGGCCTGTAATTCTTAATCTGGGATTGTGATTCTCCCTTGTGAATGGCAACAACGGAAGCTGTTTTCCAATCCTTCGGTAGCTTGTCCTGGTCTAAACTGGCTTGGTAAAAATCCCTTAGCGATCCCGCTACTATGTCCGCGATTGGCTTGGCGATTGCCGGGTGGATTCCATCGGGCCCTGTAGATTTGCTTACGTTCAGCTCCGCTAATATCCGATGAACCACTTCTAATGACACATACATATTCTCCATTTCCTCTGATGAGGGAGCGAGATCCGGTAATGTCAGATCGTCGCGATCTACTCGATGCACACTACTGAAGTATGTGCAAAAGGTGTCGACTTTTTCCTGGTCATCGGTAACGGTCCTACCTTCCAATTGTAGAGGCCCCATCATCCTTTATAGGGACTCCTGGCTTGAGCGTAGCTGTAGTAGCGTTTCGGCTCCCTTTTGGCTCGGTTGGCTAGTTTCAACTCAAAGGCCCTTTTACTCTTTCTAACGAGCGAAACTGCTTCGTTATGATGCCTTGTGTACTGTCGCCAGGCCACCTGGGAACCCGAAGCTCTAAAAGCCTCCCAGATTCGATTTCTACGTTTAACTGCCATACCTGCAGTCACCATGGCGGCTTCTTCCTTGAACCTTTGTAGGTTAAGGGAGCAAACGCATCTTTTAGGTTCATCAGGTTGTTTCTGATTATACTTCAGCTTTCCTCTACGTCCGCGCGCGTCTCCGAACTGTGCCAACTCAGTTGAGCTGCCTTAGCTCGGAGTAGATACATGTCAAGTTGCACAGGACTGGTACTGGCCACAGTCCAATCAAGCGT